ATTTTGTTATTGACCAAATACTTATTTTCCACCATAATTTGCAAATACATTTTTTAAAAATCCTACAATGTGATTTTCTGGATTTTTTTTCTCATTTTGTCTCTCATAGTTGAGGTATACCTATGATGAAAATTACAGGCCTCTCTCATCTTTTTAAGTGGGAGAACTTGCACAATTGGTGGCTGACTAAATACTTTTTTTCCTCACTGTGTGTATATATATATATATATATATATATATATACCTTGCTACGTGTACTATGTTAGGATAACCGAGACTTGTCATTTGCACTTATATATTGTTGCTGTTTTGTTAGTTTTGGTTGTTTCTATTGTCCTCATTTGTAAGTTGCTTTGGATAAAAGCATCTGGTAAATGTCTAAATGTAAATATGTTATATGTATTATTTTTATTTTGTGTGTGTGTGTGTGCCAGACATCCTGATTCATCGTCCTATTATTCATTAGTATGATAAGCTTGAGTCAGTTGGGCACCTCTTCAGATCTGTAAAATGTGTATGTGTGTGTGAATGCCCACTTGCCAAATGGAGGTTATCAACACCCACCCTCTGTACCCAGTGCCGTGCCCTAGATGAAAAGCAAAGCCGCCCTGCCCGGTCATGGTCTTTGTTCCTCTATACCAGAGATAATGAGAGATATTAGCTTGCTCTTTTTCATTTGCCTCTCTTTCTTCTTTCGTGCACACACACACTTGCACACTCATACACTCTTTTCTCATCCCACCCACGTATGGCACGCAAACACTTGTTCTGCCATTCACTTATTCACACTCATTCAGCATATAATGAGACTGAAGCCCATTTATTAAATCATTTTGAATGTGAACCTTTGCCAAATGATTTTTCCTGCTCCTTCTGTGTTCAAAGGCAGCATTCCCTCTGACTTTCTTTCTGTCATTAAATGTACATCTCCACCAGGATAGAAGGCTTTGCACTTCATAATAGATTATCTATCTGTGTAAATGCGATCATACACTGTTCCATGTGGTTATTCTTGCAAATAAAGTATTTCTTTGTGGTCCCTAATTTTATATTTAGTGTTATGCCCAGTGCTGGTCCTAGAGTTCTGGGGGCCCAAAGCAAAGCTTTGTCAGAGGTTCTCTGTCAGTGCGTCCAAAATGTCCTTTGACACTTTAATCTGTACTTTCAGAGCAGTTTCACTCTCCAGCCACGACAGCCAATCACCACTGCAAATTAACACATATACGTCACTTTTGATGTCGGTTCAACTTTGCTTTTTGAATCGGAAGAACGAAATTGCTCAAAAAATGAAAAAATATCCACTTTTCGCTTAATAATAGACATAATGAGTGCTATTTTTGTTTTCACTGATGTGCAACCTAACCTGCTCATATATTTTAACTCAAAAAATGTGTTTTAGGGTTTCATGACCCTTTAAATAATCCTTGAGAACAAGAGTGTGTACTTTGTGCGTAGGGAAGATTGGCACTGCCTATGCTTCTGTTATTATGTGGATTGATAAGAAAGTGTCAGGAAATTATTGGAAAGAGAGAAAAAATTTGTTCTGGATGTGTTTGAGGCCAGACTCGAACCCTATTGCTCACATGAGCACCAAGGCTCAAAATTTCTGGAGCACATGCGATAACCACTGCATCATTTCACTGAATGACATGAGTTCTCTAACACTGTTATTTTAGTTAACTAAAAAGTGAAATGAGAAAATGTAAAAGTAAAATCTAGTTCAAAATATTAACAAACGTATATTGGTATATCAGTGATATTAAAATAACACTACTTTGTTTGTGTAGCTACACACATATCTTGTTCTGGAGCTCCTGCAAGGTGGAGAACTGCTGGATAGGATCAGAAGGAAGCAGCACTTCAGCGAAACGGAGGCTAGCCGCATCATGCGCAGACTGGTGTCTGCCGTCAGCCACATGCATGATGTTGGTGTAGTGCACAGGGACCTCAAACCTGAGGTACAGCACGCCACAACACGTCCACTGTCATTATCTCAAATGTACAATCCACATGTCACAGCACTCCAGGCCGATGGGCCCCAAAGTACAGGTTGGGCAGAACTTTACATAGTAGTTAGGCCTCAGGATTGACAAGTCTCACTTAATTAAAAGGAAACTTATTCAAGAAGCATCTGCCTTGTTAAGTTTATGCTCCTCAATTTTGCTTGTATTTCAGTTTGGTGAACAGTGAATTAGTAAACATTTGTGTTGGTAAACTAATAAGGTTTTTCTTTTTATTTGCTTTATTTTTCTGACTGTGTAATGGGAGTTTTCTCTTTGTAGAATTTGCTCTTCACTGATGACACTGAGAATTCAGAGATAAAAGTTATTGACTTTGGCTTTGCACGGCTCAAACCCCCCGGCAATCAGCTCCTGAAGACCCCCTGCTTCACTCTTCAGTACGCTGCACCGGAAATCCTCAAATACGACGGTTACGATGAGTCCTGTGACCTCTGGAGTTTAGGAGTTATTTTGGTAAGGCCAATATTAAGTTATGGGTACTAGGAAGGGAAATTTGTTTTTAATTTTCTTTTTTTTTTCAAGATGGCTGACGAGTGCTAAATGAGTGAGAGTGACTTAAAGTTGCTCCCTTTACAAATGATTGTTTTTGAGGTCCCGTTTCAGTTAGTTCTCAGCAATAGTGGTGACTGATATATGTTTGCCATTTTTAATTATCAGCATTGGATGATACGTTTTTTGAAAATTGCTATCTAAAATATAAATCTAATATAAAAAATGTGTTTTTATCAAGTTCAGATTAATTTGATTCATTTTCAAATTATTTCTATTTTAGTAAATATTATGTCAATTAGGAGGGGGCGCTAGTGAGCAGGGATGGAGTAGGTTGTGTTTTGGGTGAGCTCCGCTAAATTTGATTAAGTTAATTATAATTTTGCCCGTTTTATGTTTTACAAAATGGCACTAAAACGTTCTGTTTTGGAATCTCAACTTTTTTTTCTTTACTGCGGTACGTAAATATTATGTCAATTAAAGTCATTATCTCTAAATTAAATAGTGATATCTAGGGCTGTCAGCTTAACGCGTTAAATTAGTTATGAAAAAATAACCCGATTAAAATATTTTAACGCAGTTAATGCACTGTAATAAACTGAGCCGTTTACTTAATTCAGAAATGAATCAGCCATTTGAACGAATTGAATGAATGACTAACTCATAAAGACATTTACCGCCACCTGCTGGCAGTTTTATTTTCTCATTTAGAGTATTATTAAAAGAAAATTTAAAAAAGGGGAAAAAAACTTTAAAGGGATAATTCCCTGAATGACTTACTTTCTTTTGTGGAACAAAAGAAGGTATTTTGAAGACTGTTGCTAACAAAGCTGTTTTAGTTACCAATGATTTCCATTGCATGAACAAAAAAAATCTGAGATGTTTCTCAAATTATCTCTTTTATGTTCCATAGTTAATATTAGGCCGTTGTGGCATAAACATTCATGTCTAATAAATTTTATGTTGAATCAAATAAAATATGTCTTTCTAAAGCTACTATTTGTAATGTCTATTTAATACTTTTTCATTTAACAAAAAATAGCTTTAAATAATCTTTTGGGGTATTTTCACAGCCAAATGTAATTTGCGATTTATTAGATTAATAAATGATACATGTAATTAATTAGATTAAAATTTTTTATCAACTATATATACGATATAGTGATAATCATTTAATGTATATTGGTTTTATATCGGCCATTGGCCACCCATCCAGATAACAGCATCGGCCATCAAAAAAGTCCATATCGGTCGACCACTAATCTGCAGGGAAGCTCACTAGGGTTAGAAACTAATTTTATGAAGAAGAAAAAGTGGCAAGTGCTAAATGAACCTTTGTCACACGGAAGTATCTCATTTTTCAGCCTTTTTTAAAGGAAATAAAACACTGAATGGTGCATTTTGTATGAATATATGAGTGCTTTCTCCTATTTCTGCAAATATGAGATTCTTTATCCACACAAGCTTTTATCCTCCTTCATGTAGATTATTTACTCCTTTTGGATATGAATCCATGTCTTGCTGTTTCTGACACTTATTCATTTGAACACCAACCAAAATAAACAAACTATCAAGCCTTTCCAAAACAGCTTAGCATTGCTGATCGGAGTCCTCGCGACTACTCTTAAGCAGAAATGTTTCAAGCCAGGACTTCATTGAGAGAAAGATGAGTGGAGATAGCGAGATGGAGCTTGGGGGAGATGTCCATAGCTGAGTTATTTTTGTGGCCCTCTGTACTGGGGAGCAGGACCTTGGCTGGGGGGAGAACAGAGCAGTGCAGCAGAGTTTGACGTGATGATCTCTGACAGGCTGTGAGCTGAGAGACCCTGGAGCTCTGCACAGCATGGAGAGAGACCACAGTGCAGAGAAAGACAATAGCTTTGTAGCTTATTTAGCTGTGCACTTTCTTCCATTTACTTTTCATAACAGTTATGTGTTCTTATCTCCAATTTATTGATATAGCACATTTAAAAACAACAAAAGTTTATCAGTGTGTGTTGTGCTCAAACACAGACAAATGGAAAATACACATTACATCTGTCCAGCACACAATGAATGTTACATGTGACAATGTTCAGATAGAACAAATAAGTCACTTGGACACAATGGAGTGTGACTATTTTCTGACCTCGGCACCAACAGAGAAGGCACAATTTATTTTTAAACATCAAGCACCAAGAGTGAGTAAGGAGCAGCTGGTTGGCACATTTAAGAGATCTGTAGGTGTGATGGAAACTGCAGAGATCAGTGTAACAAGGTTCCATTTCACTTACAGCTTTAAAGGCAAAAAACAAAACCGTATACTGTGTCCTTAGAAGAAATATGGTCACTCTTGATGGTAACAGTCAGAAGCTCACTGATTGTCCTGGTCAAGACAAGAAATATTTTAGTTTGGTAATAGCTCTAAGCAAGAAGATTGAACTTTTCAGAACAGCTTTAATATGTTGATAGATGATGATGATGCGTAATTTAGATTTTATATTTAGTTTCTAGGGTGATACTGTAACATTCTTTCCAGGGACTACAGATGAAAAATGTAATTTGGCTAATTTATGCATGTTTACAGTAATGTTTATTAACGTGCACTGTCCCAACATTTAAACATCATCTTGGCAATAAAAAATTATTTAAAACAGACATCAACAGGTATTAAAACAAATATGTGGAAACATTCCCAATCCATTATACATCCATAATGTGACATTTCTTGTCACATTAAATGTAAGGCAGGGCTTGATTTTATTCATGGGGAATTGATTGTATCAAAAAGTGTGTTTACTGTCTTGGTGACATTTTCAAAACAGGAAGTTGTCTCCGAGGTGGATCAAATGATAACTTTTTCATAAAAGATTACTAAAATAAACTTTATAAAATGTGATACCTTTTTTTTCTTTGGAATAATGCAAACTTATGGTTTGTGCACAATAAAACCAAGAACACGTATTTGGAAAATAAATTTGACTTTAAAAGGAAGGTACAGCTCTGTATCATTTGCATAACAGTGAAGGTAAATTTCTTTTTTTCTTAATGAATCGCATGTGAAGAAAATTAATTGGTTGTTCCAAAACAGCTTAGCATTGCTGATCGGAGTCCTCGCGACTACTCTTAAGCAGAAATGTTTCAAGCCAGGACTTCATTGAGAGAAAGATGAGTGGAGATAGCGAGATGGAGCTTGGGGGAGATGTCCATAGCTGAGTTATTTTTGTGGCCCTCTGTACTGGGGAGCAGGACCTGGCTGGGGGGAGAACAGAGCAGTGCAGCAGAGTTTGACGTGATGATCTCTGACAGGCTGTGAGCTAAGAGACCCTGGAGCTCTGCACAGCATGGAGAGAGACCACAGTGCAGAGAAAGACAATAGCTTTGTAGCTTATTTAGCTGTGCACTTTCTTCCATTTACTTTTCATAACAGTTATGTGTTCTTATCTCTAATTTATTGATATAGCACATTTAAAAACAACAAAAGTTTATCAGTGTGTGTTGTGCTCAAACACAGACAAATGGAAAATACACATTACATCTGTCCAGCACACAATGAATGTTACATGTGACAATGTTCAGATAGAACAAATAAGTCACTTGGACACAATGGAGTGTGACTATTTTCTGACCTCGGCACCAACAGAGAAGGCACAATTTATTTTTAAACATCAAGCACCAAGAGTGAGTAAGGAGCAGCTGGTTGGCACATTTAATAGATCTGTAGGTGTGATGGAAACTGCAGAGATCAGTGTAACAAGGTTCCATTTCACTTACAGCTTTAAAGGCAAAAAACAAAACCGTATACTGTGTCCTTAGAAGAAATATGGTCACTCTTGATGGTAACAGTCAGAAGCTCACTGATTGTCCTGGTCAAGACAAGAAATATTTTAGTTTGGTAATAGCTCTAAGCAAGAAGATTGAACTTTTCAGAACAGCTTTAATATGTTGATAGATGATGATGATGCGTAATTTAGATTTTATATTTAGTTTCTAGGGTGATACTGTAACATTCTTTCCAGGGACTACAGATGAAAAATGTAATTTGGCTAATTTATGCATGTTTACAGTAATGTTTATTAACGTGCACTGTCCCAACATTTAAACATCATCTTGGCAATAAAAAATTATTTAAAACAGACATCAACAGGTATTAAAACAAATATGTGGAAACATTCCCAATCCATTATACATCCATAATGTGACATTTCTTGTCACATTAAATGTAAGGCAGGGCTTGATTTTATTCATGGGGAATTGATTGTATCAAAAAGTGTGTTTACTGTCTTGGTGACATTTTCAAAACAGGAAGTTGTCTCCGAGGTGGATCAAATGATAACTTTTTCATAAAAGATTACTAAAATAAACTTTATAAAATGTGATACCTTTTTTTTCTTTGGAATAATGCAAACTTATGGTTTGTGCACAATAAAACCAAGAACACGTATTTGGAAAATAAATTTGACTTTAAAAGGAAGGTACAGCTCTGTATCATTTGCATAACAGTGAAGGTAAATTTCTTTTTTTCTTAATGAATCGCATGTGAAGAAAATTAATTGGTTGTTAGATAGAACCTTGAGGTACCCCGCATTAAGGTGCACTTGTGTTTTTTATTTTGTTGCAGTACACCATGCTATCTGGCCAGGTCCCATTTCAGTGCCATGGGAAGAGTCTAATGCACACCAGTGCAGAAGAGATTATGAGGAAGATCAAACAAGGAGACTTCTCTTTCGAAGGTGAAGCCTGGAGGAATGTGTCTAATCAGGCCAAAGATCTGATACAAGGTAAGACACAACTGAAGATGTTTAGAGACCATTTTGCAGTGATTTAAATTGGAATGCATTTGTTAAAACTAAAATGTGCCTGACCTACTCATGGTTCAGAGCTGCTGACGGTGGACCCTGACAAGCGGATAAAAATGTGTGGCCTACGCTATAATGCCTGGCTGCAGGATGACAGTCAGCTCTCTTCCAACCCTCTTATGACCCCTGACATCCTGGGATCTTCTACCATATCAGTGCACACCTGTGTCAAAGCCACCTTCAATGTAAGAAAGAGAAAAAAACAGAAGGATGCTAGAAAATAAAGATTACAACATAAAATAATACTGTTATTGTCTTCCCCAGGCCTTTAATAAGTGTAAGCGGGAGGGCTTCCGACTCCAGACAGTTGACAAGGCTCCTTTGGCCAAACGCAGAAAGATGAAGAAGACCAGCACCAGCACAGAGACCCGCAGCAGCTCCAGCGAGAGCACACACTCATCATCCTCTTCCTCCCAGTCTCAGGATAAGACACCACCAGGTGGAGAGACAGCTATTATTCCCCAGGCCTCCGTGAGCACACCTCTCACTCTTGGCCCTGACGATGAGCCCTCTCAGGGCGAGCCCCAACCTGCCTTCACATTTTCAGAGTGAACCTGTCTGAGAGTTGGACAACAGGATAGGTTACATAATTAGGTTACATAATTATCCCACCGTTCTTTCTCCTCACGCTCTGGCAAGGCTGTACAACTCCAGAATTTGCATGCGGGGACCAACTCAAATCCATCACTAGCAATAGATGCATACCATGAGTGCTGAAGACTGAGCTTGAGTGAACTTCTGGCTCAAGTCCTGCATGGCGAAACCTCACTGCATCCAGTCCAGTGTCTCAAACAGGAGGGGGAACTTCACTTTTAGGAGCATCAAACCTTCCACTGATGGTGAAAAAAGGAAAGTCTGCTTCTGCAGTGTCCTGAAAGACCAGGCACTTTGCTTTGGGCAAAAAAAGGAAAGGGATATGTATTTTAAAAGAATATAAATAGAATTTATAAAAGAGAAGATTTATTGTTTATTCAGACTTCTCTCAAATTTGGTATATGATACATATTTGGTATATATCAATGTGTCAAATATGACAGCTCCATTTGTGCTGGGAGCTTCGTGGTATTGATTCACATATCTAACTTTGATCTTTGACTTCTTCCAAAATATTTTACTGAAGTAGCAACAATTAGGTGTTAATAGTTTCCTTGGAAGCATTTTATTGTAAAACTCTTGTAAGTTACCCATGGCAAGGTACAAAAGACAGTTTGTTTCTTATTTACATGTTATTTGAAATTTCTGTTGAGATCCTTTCCTCAGGTTATTTATTTGTTATTTTAAACTTGAATTAATTTTTTAAGAGACTTGAAGGTGAAGTCACATTTACTCTTGCTCTAAGAAATTTTCTGGACGAAATCCAGTTATATCGATAGGAATCTGTGCATTTAGAAATTTTGCAAAGGTGCGAAACATTTCTCCACGCATATTTTGCATCAGGTTCAGTTATTTTCACACAATTTTGATGTGTTGACCAGAAGAAGAAGCTGTTTGGTTTGAAAGTGACTTCTGTGTGAGCGTTGCTTCATGCATTGCTAATATCGACAGTAGACTGTGGACGTTTTTTGGTTTATCACTGAAATTTCGCATATGTGACTGCGTCTTAAATGAGAGGACTCTAGAGGTGTTGCTTTGGGTGTTGTTTCACTCAAGGTTTTATGCCTGAGTGTAATTTCAAGCTGTTTAAAGTCAACGTGAAATCAAAATAGACTCATTTAAAATTTTTAATGCACCAGATTCTATTGTAAACAGTGACAAACAGTGATGTAACTCTTTCTTCCCCTGCAACGATCACTTAGGCCTCTCAGGCTATTGGATATTGCTAACCAGTAGCTAAATGGCTCTTTTGCCACAGTTTTAGCAAACTTGCATTCAATCTGGCTGCATTCTGCTCTGTAATGCTGCCACTTTTCTGGATCCAATCAGTTTCTGATGGATAGACTCATGACCCTCCCTACATTTTTGTCTTGTTATACTGTTTCACTAGAGAATGCACCACATGAGAGAAAGAAAATGGGTTTTGATTCATGCTGACTTTAAGCGTCTGTAAAGCCTAATGACACGCTTATCTTACAGAAGAGAACCATGACTGCAGGGCCACATTTTAGCCTGAAATGAAGTTATATTCCAGCTAAAAAACATCTGTGGTTTCCTGTTTGATGGTGGCATGATGTGTTTTTGGCCCTGTGTTAGATGAATGATGCTTTAAGACGTGCTGCAGCAGAGTCTGTGGTGTTTAAAACGATGCGCTTGCATTTTTTCTTCTTAGCATATCTGTTTCACAAGCCTTGGAGGTTTTGTGACAATGAGGTGCAATGTTGCAGGACTCAAGTTCATATTTTCAGGAGCGTTTGGACTCTTGAGTCCAAATCCAGTCTTGTCTGGACTTGAGTACTACACACGTAAAAATAAAAAGGTTTTTTCCTATGTTCTATGGTAGCAATGCCATAGAGGAACCATTTTGGATTCTTTCAGTGAAGAGTTCCTAATATAACATGTTAACAAGTGTGAAGAACATTTAATAATCTGAAAAACCTTTTCCACTTGGTTCCATAGTTGTTAAAGGTTCCTGGATGAACCATTGATGCCAATACAGAACCTTTCGTTTTAAGAGTGTACAACACTGCTGAGCTGATTATGTGGTTCTCTGTGTTTTTGTATTCTAGCTGGTGGTGGCATTTTTACAGTTGAAAGGAATGGTTTTATCTTTAGTCTGAACGACCATTTGTATTGTTCAGAGCATTATGCTGTGATGACTGACATGGTGGTATTCATATCTTTCAAGCACTACAAGACTATTTGAAAGGCACTTGAACTCTACATTGCTATGCAAAAGTTGTCTTATGTTTCTGTTCATATCCTGAATGACCTTTATGCATTTGAAAATACTGAATCTAAACAGTGCCTCATCAGTGCAAACGTAACTGCCATTTTTAGGGACAGACGCAAGGCTTTGGTCTCTAAGTAAATCATGCATTCCACTTCCTGTGCACTAACCGAGATGAGACATCCTATCATTGAGCTTTTAAATAGTGAGGGCTGGATTGGGACCCAGCGGCAGGTACGCATGCACGAACGCACACACACACACACACATCAAACATACATAAACTGGTGCTCCTGCCCACTCGAACCCGGGCAAAGGACAAGAGCAATAAGAACAGCAGGAGCTCAGCTCACTTTCATGTGGGTGAAAGCCGCTGCGTTCGGCCTCTTCCCCATCACTGTTCTCCCTGAAGCTCCCTCATTACTGCCTCCTCCTTTTGTTTGGGTGTATTAATAGAACGGGAATGAGGGGAGGCAGAGAGAGTCCTACTTTGAACTCTCCTTGGGGACCGAGGCTTTATTGGATGGTTTGCCGTGCTGCTCTTTGTCCCACTGGCTCCCTGCATCCAATCGCACAAACATGGAGCTTGTTTTAAGGTTTGATACGTTTTTAGGGGGTTTTCCTCTTGTTTTAGCTGTTATGAGATTAAAGGCCAGACATGGGTTTTCGTTTATAGAAGCGTAGTGAGCATCGGCCCTTAAACTGAACGTACTCTTTTGATCTGTGCACTCCATTTTTGTTGCCCTATTTTAGTGCTCTTGGGTGCTTGTAAATTGTGTTGTCCGCTTGTGAAATGTAACCAAGGGGCCCCGTGCGCTTGTATCTGTGATAGCGCCGGGTGTGGGCGGCTCATCTGCTCATGGAGATGGGCTGATTAGACTTTTAAAGATCCACCTTGTTTTTAAAGGGGCTGTGAATTTGAAGTTGGAGAGTTGAGTTCACCCAAAATGAAAATTCTGTAATTTACTCACCCTCCAAAGTTGTTCCAAACCTGTTTAAGTGTCTTTGTTCTGTTTAGCATAAAATAAGATATTTTGAAGAATGCTCTTTACCAAACATTTGATGGTAGCCATTGACTTATAAAGTATGGGGGAAAATGCTATAATAGCTACCGTCAACATTTTGGTTACCAATATTCTTCAAAATATCTTATTTTGTGTTCAACAGATGAAATAAATGCATGCCAGTTTGGAACAAGTGGAGGGGTGAGTACGTGATGACAGATTTTTCACTTTAATGAACTTTCACATTAATGTTGGAATATACTATGAATGGATTTGTTTAATTGCATGGAAACTTGCTCCCATTCTGTTTCATGATATCTTTAGTAGAATTGCCTTGTTCTAGAGGTGGCTATGCTTTAGGTGTTAAAGTCAAACTGTGAAAGTTCAAAACTGTCATTTGAAACTTACAACAACAACAAAAAAGCAAGTAGCCTGTAATTTTTACATTGACTAAAAAAAGTGGCTAGGGGTAGTTGACAAATAACATGATCAAGAACTTTAGTTTTTTCAACATCAAAATTGTAGGTATATGTTTTTTGTATATCAGTGGTTCTCAACCCGGCGGCCTCAGTGCCCTAGATGTGGAAAAGTCAGGTAAATTAGGAACATTTTATAACTCAATGGGCATTTTAATAATAAAATTAAAAATATTTTATCAGCTAAAAATTGAGTACAAATATTTAAAAAAAATCCCTTTCCTTGATCAAGCATGAACAGCTGGAAAGGTCATGGGGCCTTCAATTGTTGTGGACATTTGGGGGTCTTGGAGTCAAGAATCTTGAGAATAACATTGACTGTATTATATTATATATTAATTATATACAATTTTAGGGTTTTTTCCTGTTCACTTCAGTAGTACTGCAAATATATTTTTTAAAAGTACAAAAATTACACGGAGTTCTCTCAATTAATAAGAGTTTAAAAAAAACATATAATTGAAATTTTTCAAAGAAACAATGTTGTATACAATAGTTTTGGATTATGTGTAGCACACACTGCGGAGCACTTTCTACTTGTCAACATACACTACCATTCAGGGTCAGTAAGAGATATATATATGACAGTTTTCACAAAAATATTAAGCAGTGCAACCTATTTCAACACTGATCATAATAAAAAATAAAGCTGGGTAAAAATATCGATTTCTCTATTAAAATCGATTCTCATTTTTACGAAACAGTATAGTTTCTTAAATCCCAAGAATCGATTAGTCTAGCCTGTTTTCATTTAATAAATGGAACGTTGTAGCGCACCTCCCATTCAAAAAACCGCAATAAGCTTTGTGCTTTGATACTTTTGATATGAAACAAAGTCTCAGATTTCAAATTCTGACCATTTTATTACAATATTCAAACAATAAATACTGTTTTCATATAATTGAGATTTTTCAAAGAAACAATGTTGTATACAATAGTTTTGGATTATGTGTAGCACACACTGCGGAGCACTTTCTACTTGTCAACATACACTACCATTCAGGGTCAGTAAGAGATATATATATGACAGTTTTCACAAAAATATTAAGCAGTGCAACCTATTTCAACACTGATCATAATAAGAAATAAAGCTGGGTAAAAATATCGATTTCTCTATTTCAATCGATTCTCATTTTTACGAAACAGTATAGTTTCTTAAATCCCAAGAATCGATTAGTCTAGCCTGTTTTCATTTAATAAATGGAACGTTGTAGCGCACCTCCCATTCAAAAAACCGCAATAAGCTTTGTGCTTTGATACTTTTGATATGAAACAAAGTCTCAGATTTCAAATTCTGACCATTTTATTACAATATTCAAACAATAAATACTGTTTTGGCGCTGTTTAATGTGGAGTGATCATCTCCTCCGCTTTAACCAGTTACAGCACGAAATAAACATGAATGAGCGTCTGAAGGTATGTTAAAAGAAACAGTACAACTTACCAAAATCCGTATCCTGTTTCATGTTATCACTCAACCGTGAAAAGACGGCAGTGTAACAGCTTGTAAACGATATGTCACGTGACATCTCATTTACTTCAGAAACGCATTCGGTGACCACAAACTCTTTAGTCATCTGGAAAAATGATCTCTATAGAGGAGCATTTCGCTAAATATATGCACCATATAACATACTCATTATCATTTTTATTATTATTAACTAATATTTAATCTATGTTTGAAGAGCTAAATCCATGAAAGTTATGACAGCCACCATTTAAATGTTTATATTTCAAAAAACGAATTGGAGGGGAAATATAATTATGTAATTGTAAAGTTAGTGGTATAAATGTATTATTATAAAAACTAAAATTTGAGTGTTTGTATACAAATAAGTTCATTTTAACCCCCAGTATTATAATATACCACCAGCTG